AAATAAGTGCAAATACCTGTTGGAGGAAGACGAAGAACCCAAACAGAAATGGGGGCACAAAACCAGAAAATAAAAGCAAATGCTAGTGCACGATGCTCAGAAGCCAAACGAAAGCATGTGAAAGGGGAAGATGGCTTATATAGCCAAGCAAACGACTACTGAAATTTGAATAGCAAAGGTCAGGGTTATTTAAGTATTTTCACCCTCAACTTATAACTGCTACGATCGTGGATGGGGACCACAATCATCATGTGCCAAATCACAGCGCAGAGAAGGTTAAAGGGCGAGGGCAAAACTGCCACCTCGCGCACAAAATATAAAAGAAAAAAGAAAAAAAAGAGAGAGCTGTTAAATTTTGATGACAAGACAGCTGAAGCGATGCTGCAATAAATGCACTCGAAACTCAATGACAGCATAGGAACGGCCGCAACATACTATAGTGCGCAGGCTGGAACACGTGGCACAATGCAATGATCATCGTTCAAAAACCTATGTATGAGACAAAACTTGTATGAACATACAGCTGTTCACCGCGTTTCGAGCTGATGCTGGGGTAATAATCAACCCACGGGTATTTCAGTACAGTTTCTACCCAGCTTCACAGGGAAGCAATAGGCATACATACATGCCCTTGTAACCCGGGTACAATACCGACGGGGTCTTACACAACCATTGACCAAATCAATATGCAGATGCATTCCAAGATCGGGAATTCCGCTTGGGGGTAATCTGCAAATAGGGTCAAGCAACTCAAGCGTACTCCTCGCTAAGAATAGCAGTATGGTTGATGCTCAACCAGCATAAGGAAGATGAGAACCCGAAAGCAACGTATTGGCTGGCATTGGGAAGAAGCCAAACAGATCGGCATTATACCTGGTCCAAGCATTGTAGGATACATAAAATGTCCCACCGGATTGATATTCGACTTGTCGGCATAAGAGGGGCAAAGAACACCCCATGAGAAAAAAGCGCACTCATAGGTTCATCCCGACTACCCGGGTACCCCGATAGCCCGGCTGAGGGGCAACTGTTATGGACCCATACGATGGGCCCATTAAGTAACAAGCCCAACAAGGGGCAATCCAAAAGCTGATGAGTCAGCACAGCTATCCACTTGATGTGTCAGCATAGCTACCCACTTGATGTGTCAGCATAGCTATCAAGCTATCTACAGGTAACCTCTATAAATACCAGGGCAAACCCTAAAAGGTACACACATTCTCTCTCTAATTGTTATGCTGTCACTGTGCACACACACACCCCATTGGCTAACGCCATCATTGTATTCTGTGCACAGTGATCTTCCCGACTCAAGGGTATCTCTCTCATAGATACCTTGGAGAGGACATCAGATCCGATACCAACGTACTAGCCTAACTGGGCTAGACATCTCTGTCCCAAGGACAGAACATATACAATCAATGTGGGACTCGTAACATTCGTACGGTACTTATTATGCTAAATATTTTTCTAAAACTAATTAATATTATTTAGCTATGTTAATTTAACTTGTAGGTTTCTATACTTTTTCAGAATGTTTAAATAAGTCTTTATAATTAAGAGTTTGCAAATGGTCCCTGTAGTCTTATAATTTTCTATTTGGGTGATTATTGATTAGATTTCGAAAGCTTAATAAAAAAAATCTTGAAACTGTAAATATTTCATTAAAAAATTGAGACTATAAGAATTAAACTACAAATTATTAAAATCCACATATCATTCCTAAGTCTTAAATAACGTCCAAGTTTCCTATAACTAATGTAGGTTTGGTCCCAAGAGTCAATCTGACCCCAACCCAACAAAAAATTGCTACAAAATTTATCTACAAAAATTGTGGTTGTTCTGATCCTTACCTCTTGATCCATCCAAACAGGCGAATGCAAACGAGATGACCACTTCCAATACTTCAAAAGAACAGAGTGAGTACCAAAGCTGAGGTAATTCCTTCACGAGGTATACCAAAAGGTAAACAACTTTTTTCTATCTCTCTATCTGTTTTTTTTTTTTTTTTTGGACTTTTGGTGTTGTATGAGCTTGAAAATAACAATAACCTGAAAGGAAAAGAAAATTCAAACTCAAACAATATTCGACATTTTCTTCTTCTTCTTTTTCTTTTAGATTTTTTGGTTGGACTTTAATAGTTTTATGAGCTCAAAAACATGAAACTCTAACTGGAAAATAAAACAAACAATCTCAAAGGCAAAGTAAGCAAATTGTAAACAAGGAACGTAAAAGGCAAATATGAATAAAGGTGTGTTTGATTGTGTTTTGGTTTTTTTTTTATTTGTAAAATAGTTAATGAAATAGGTGTTTTTTTATGTTTTTTTGGTTTTGAAAGTTAAAAGACAAAATACAAAATAAAAAATAAGTTTTTAAAATTTGATTCTAAAAACAAAATAACAGTCACAATTTTTATTTTTTTATTTTCTATAAAACAGGCCTTGTCAAAGAGTTTATTTATTTTTTCTGAAAATCAAAAAACTATTTTTCGAAATGGCTCTTGATGACTCAAAACTAAAGCGAAAAATAACAAACAATCTGGAAACTAAAATAAATCTCAAACAATCGCGTCGCCCGTTATGGGTGGTGCAACCTTGATTGTAGGTTGGTGGAGCAAAAATCAGCTAGAAAATTGGTCTACCAAAGAAAAATTGTGCGCCTAAAGTGTTGACACGGGCGTGGGTCTTTGATTGGATGTGAAATTATGGTAGAATATCATAACAGAATGTGAGTCAAAAAGTTGCCTTCTTGGGGAAAAAGCACGCGTCGGCGCGTGGAAAAAAATTTTAGAGCTCTGCTAGGTTTTCGCGGTTTATGGTGGGAAAAGGGGGTAGATCCCTCATTCCAGAGGGGCAAACAGTGACCAGTAGGGATTTGAAGAAGGCTAAGGGTGAGATTATAGTGGGCCTGGAGATGCATGACGAACCTCAGGTTGCGGGCGCAATGGAGGTTGAAGTTGGAAGTGAAGACCAACCACTGGATGTGGAGGTGATCGATCTGGTTCAGGGTGACGAAGGAGATTCCAAGAGGGACTCGCGAAAATTGGTCTCGTATAAAGACTATCTTCCGCGTGTGAATGGGATTTGGGATGGTAACCCAGAGGACGATGATAATGACTGGCTGGCTGAGGGCAGAAGGGAGGAATGCGAAGATGAGGAGGCTTTAAAGGCGTACGAACAGTCAGGGGATGATGATCCTCTGAATCCTTTCTACCAATTTGACGTCCTGGAAAAGCTTGAACAGTGCAAGAGATGGGGGAAGGCTCTGATAGTCAAGCTCATGGGGAAAAGACTAGGAGCGAAATTCTTATGGAACAGATTGCATAGACTATGGAATCTTGAAGGAGAGTACAAGGTCTTGGATCTGGAGAATAACCATTACATGGTTGAATTTTAAAAAACGCAGGACTACCTCTTCGTCCAGCAGCAGGGTCCATGGATTGTGGCTGACCACTATCTCATTGTGCAGAGGTTGAGGCCCAATTTTGATCCATATGATGATCGTGTGAAAAAGCTGGCGGTGTTGATCAGAATCCCAGGTGTACCTAGGGAATTCTATACCCACAAGGATCTTTGGAGAATGGGCAACATGGTGGGAAGAACTTTGAGGATTGATGAAAGTTCTCTAAGGATCAGTGGTCAAGGACATCTTGAAGAAATCACTGACAGGGGCAGGTTTGCCCGAATTTGTGTGGAAATTGATTTGAGCAAAAGCCTCCTCTCGAAATTCAGGATAGGACAAAGACAGTTATTCATTGGTTATGAAGGATTACACATGATCTGCTTCCTGTGTGGTAAGTATGGACACAGGAAGGATCAATGTCTGATTAATCTGGATAATTTGAAGAGAAGTGGGGATGATACTGAAAAGGAGGGTTTATGTCAGAATATGGATCATACCCACATAGCAGCTAAAAGCAAAGAGGAAATAGAGAAGAGCCAAGAAGAAGATGGCTTTGGTAGTTGGATGACTATCCAGAGAAGGAATAACAAAAGGCAATTGCAGAATCAGAAACAGAAGGAAGTACAGTCGAGTAAAGAGAAAGCTGGCATAGAAGGCAGTAGTAAATCCCTTAAGACTAATGTTGCTGGTTCAAGATTTGAGCCACTAGAAGGAGAGAAAGAAGAGGTTACAGTAGGGAAGATGGTTCATCCCTCAGCTTCGGGAGCCAATGGTACCAAGTCCGAGGGTGATACTAGCCAGAATGGGAGGAAAAAGAAGAGCACTACAGAAAATAATGCAACTAAACAGATGGCAGGAGCAGAAACAAAAGGCTTAGGGAAAAAAGTCATACACTCCCATCAGCAGGAGGTGAACAAGGGGAGCATGCAAATCAACACAAGGAGGGAAGCCATCCTAGTAGACAGAGGAAGGAATAAGGGTAATATTCAGGGAGAATCTTCTCTCGGTACTAAGACATCTGGAAGCTTGGGATCGAATTTTCCAGTAGGAAGTGAGGCATATGCTGATCTGACTTCTTCTGATGTAAAGGAAGTTCCTCCTGATGGGGTTGGTGAAGGCAAGATTCTATGCCAAGATGGTAGAACTGCAATGGTTCTGGATGAAATAACCAATGTCATTGGCAGCAAGATAGTAACCAAGGATTTGGTTTAGTTGAGGTTGGTCTCTGTCCTACCTTATTTCCAGTTTTCATGATAGTTAGTAGTTGGAATTGTAGAGGGGCGGGGAAAAAAGGATTCTCCTCCCTCATAAAGGATTTGGTTTTCCAAAATAAAATTCAAGTTCTAGCTCTGCTAAAATCTAGAATTAGTGGTAAAAAGGCTGAGAATGTAGCTAGAAAACTTGGTTTTGATAGCTTTTTCATTAGAGACGCAGTGGGGTTTTCGGGTGGTATTTGGATTTAATGGTATAAATTGTGTACGGATGTGAAAATAATTGAGGAGGACCACCAATTTGTCCATACAAGCCTTTGTTGGATAAATTCTGGAGTTGAAGATAAATTCACATTTGTTTATGGTAGTCCCAGGAGATCCGATAGAATGGAGATTTGGAATGGCCTGAGGAGTATAGCTGAAAGAGGATTTGAGAAATGGGTTGTCATGGGTGATTTCAATGCCTATGTGGAAGAAAGAGACAAACAAGGTGGTTCTGAAGTTGGTTGGGGAAGTATGCAAGACTTTGAAAACTGTCTCAGTGACTGTGGTTTGTCAGATCTAGGCTTCTCAGGTCCCAAATTCACTTGGAAAAGAGGAGCCTTGCAAGAAAGGATTGACAGGCTGGTGGTAAATGATGACTGGTTCCTGTAATTCCCTAATAGATCATTAGTTCATGCTCACTTTCATGGTTCTGATCACAGACCGATTATCTTAAAGGATGCTAGTGGAGACTTCTGTTCGGGAGAAATCAAACCTTTTAGGTTCTTAGCTACTTGGTTGACTAATGAGAGTTTTAGTGGAATAGTGAACAAGTGTTGGAATAGGAATAAAAACTGGATTCCTGCTAAAAATGAGTTCCATAAGGAAGCTGCTGCTTGGCATCAACATATTTTCAAAAAGGATCAGAGAAGGAAATATCAGATTCAAAGGAGGTTAAGAGGTGTAGATAACCAGCTCAATGGGGGTCCAAATGAATCCCTAGAAAGACTCCACAGGGAGTTATGGCAAGATCTAAATAAAATTGATATCCAGGAGGAGATCACCTAGTTTCAAAGATCTAGAAGCAATTGGCTCGAGTTTGGTGACAGGAATTCAAGGTTCTTTCATACTGCAACAGTTGCCAGAACCAGAAAAAATAAGGTCACAGCCCTAAAAAATGAGAGGGGAGAATGGGTTCAGGACCAAGAAGCTCTCAAAGACATGGTTGTTGGCTTTTTTAAAAATCTGTATGGGGGTGATGACCATTGTAATCAGAAGCTGAACACTGAGAATCTGTTCCCAGTACTAGATGACCAGAAGTGGAGGGATATTGGAAAGATGCCTATGGTGGAGGAAATTAGAAGAACCATTTTTAGGATGCAGCCTTATAAAGCACCTGGTGCTGATGGTCTTCATGCAATCTTCTTTCAAACACAGTGGGATAAAGTGGGCAGTTCTGTTACCAATCTAGTAGTCGAGGTGTTCAATGATCCAGTGATGAAGGTGTCAGGTATAAATCAGTCCTTAGTTTGCTTAATCCCTAAAGTTGAGAACCCAGAAGTGATAAACCTATTTAGACCCATCAATTTATGCAATGTTATATACAAAGTCATCTCCAAGATTATTACTGCTAGGCTCAAAGATCACATGAGCTCTCTAGTAATGCCAAATCAATGTAGCTTTGTGAAGGGTAGACAGGCTTCAGATAACATCATCATTAGTCAGGAGATATTCCACACCATGAGATCAAAGAGAGGTAGGAAGGGTTGGATGGCTATAAAGTTAGACTTAGAGAAAGCCTATGATAGAGTCAGCTGGTCCTTTTTGGAGGAGACCTTACACTTGACTGGAATGTCCAAGAAGCTTGTAGATCTTATTATGACTTGTGTTTCTTCTCCTTCCATGAACATCTTATGGAATGGAACACAAACTGATTACTTTTCCCCTTCAAGAGGAATTAGACAAGGAGATCCTTTTTCTCCTTATCTTTTTGTATTATGTATTGAGAGGTTGGGACACTTGATCAACTCAGCAGTTGAGAGAAAAGAATGGCATCCGGTTAAGATGGGAAGGAATGGGGCCCCCATATCTCACTTATTCTTTGCAGATGATCTCTTAATTTTTTCAGAAGCTAGTGAAGATCAAGCAAATTTGATTGGGAATATTCTGGATCAATATTGCTGTGCCTCTGGACAGAAAATTAGCAACAGTAAAACTAGATGCTTCTTTTCCAAGAATGTGAACCACAATAGAAGAAGGGAGCTAAGTCAGTCTCTTAATTTTGCAGTCACTGCTGATTTAGGTAAGTATCTTGGGATCCCTATTTTTCATAAAAGGGTGAACAAAAATACTTTCAGATTTATTTTGGATAAAACTAACAAAAAGTTAAATGCTTGGAAGGAAAAATGTTTGTCTCTGGCTGGTAGGGTGGTACTAACCAAAGTTGTTCTGTCAGCCCTCCCTACTTATGCTATGCAGACTTCTTTGATACCAATTGGCACCTGTGAGGCTGTGGAGCAAAAAATGAGAAGCTTTATTTGGGGTTCAAATAAAGAGAAGAGAAAGATCTATGCTTCTCCTTGGAGTGTGGTATGTAAAGCAAAGAAGAATGGGGGCCTAGGAATTAGGAACCTGAGATTGGCTAACAAAGCTTGCCTGATGAAGATTGGGCATGGCCTAATGACTCAGAGGGAAGATCTGTGGGTGCAAGTGTTGAAAAACAAGTATAAAGTAAAGGCTGGTCTACTGCCTAATATCCCTAAAAAATCTATCTGTTCAAATCTTTGGTTGGGGATTTCTAAGGTTTGGCAGAAGGTTTATGAAGGCTCGAAAATGATGGTGGGAAATGGCCTGGGAATATCTTTCTGGTGCGATAAATGGTTGCCAATTGGCCCACTTTTGAATCACACAATCCAGGATATTCCATTAGGAATGCAGGAGGTAACCTTAGCTGATATGGTTGATGTCAATGTGGCAGGAGTTTAGCCAACTGGTTACCCAAGAGGCTGTCAATCTTATAGCTGGGGTCTGCCCTCCTAGTCCAGAAGAGGATGAGGACAGAATAATCTGGGAGGTATCCCAGGATGGCAGCTTTTCCATTAAATCTGCTTTCAACATGCTGTGCAGGGAGGAGTCAAATACCTTGCAGGTTGATTGGAACTCAGTTTGGGAGTGGGGTGGACCTCCTAGAGCAAAGACTTTCTTATGGCTCTTACTTGGGGAAAATCTCCTAACAAACTCAAGAAGAGTTCAGAGACACTTGGCAAGTTCTAATTTGTGTCCCAGATGCCACATTGATCCTGAAGAGTGTATCCATGTAATGAGGGATTGCAGCTGGTCAGAAAAGATATGGAAATCCTTGATTGAGCCTGACAAATGGACCGAGTTCTTTTCTCTCCATCTTCAGAACTGGCTGTACATAAACCTTGATCCAAAGAAATGTTTGTTGGGAGGAGTAAAAGGGAACATTCTTTTTGGCATTATCTGCTGGTTTATCTGGAAAGAAATAAATAATTTTATTTTTGAAGGGGAAATTCCCAGTGAAGGAAACACTGTCAGGCAGGCTTGCACTTATTTTACAAATTTTTTGGATGCAAACTCCTTATATAACAGAACGGGTCTTCTGAACAGAAGGAAAGAGGAGATTCTGGTTCATTGGACACCTCCACCTATGGGATGTGTTAAAGTCAACACTGATGGATCTTCCAAAAGTGGCAATATACAGGGAGGCTGTGGAGGTAGCTTAAGGGATGTATCTGGTCTGTGGCTGAAGGGCTTTGCTAAAAGGTTGGGTGCCTGCAACTCGATGAAAGCTGAAAATTGGGGAATGCTACTGGGATTGCAGATGGCATGGGATCTTGGTCATAGAAGAGTTATTATTGAAGGAGATTCTCAGGCTGCACTGAATTTAATTAATGAGGGAGTTGCTGGAAACCATCCTCTAGCTGGCTTAATCAGAAGAATTGGCCAGATCAGAAGCTGGGATTGGCAAGTGGAATTCAAGCATGTCAATAGAGAGGGAAATGGGGTAGCTGATTGGCTTACTAATTTTGCCTGTTCTCTTGGTTGGGAAGCTGTGTTCTTAGATCATCGTCCTGAAGGGTGTGCTAAGTTAGTAGATAGAGATTTTAGAGGTGTAGCTTGACCTAGGATGATCAGGGTTCTGTAATTTGCTTTTAATTTCCTTTTATATAAAAAAAAAAGTTGCCTTCTTAACCAAAGAAGTAGCTGGAAAAAATTTCAACGGGCTATTGGAGATCGGGAAAAATTTTAGTACATCCAAGTTGGCAATTAGAAATTTTTTCCGGTCTGCGGCCTTCTTTAAAACGTTTAAAAGATAATATGCTTTTAGAGGCACCAGCTCCAAAAGCAAAATGCACCACATTGGATAGCGAATTTTATTCTCAATATTAAAAACAATGTGCAACAGGTTTTTAATGGAGAGCCTCCTCCTCCTGTTCTGGCGGACCTTGCTGCCATGGGTAGTTTGCATGTTGTTGGCATACAATAAGATTTTTATTTTTTTTATTTTATTGTTGGACTCCGCCTTTTTGTTTACCAAAAAAAAATAAAAGACAACAAATTTGTAACTTTCTTTTGTTTTGGTTTTTCTTTCAAACCAAAGCAATAAACTCTCTTTTGATTAATTTTGATAAAAAAATTATTTATTTCAACTTTTTTATGATTAAATTTGATTTTCTTACGACGGGATCAAGATTTAGTGTCGACAAAACATACCTAATAAAAATATTAAAAGGATCTTTAGATTAACCTATTTTTAGAACTAAAAATGTTTTTAATTAAAAATTTCTAAAAGAAAGCTTTAGAAAAATAATATATTCTTAAAATTATTTATTTCCAAACAGGTTACAAATCATTAAAGAGCATGAACCTCTTACATGTTACATGAAGGGAGCAACTAGGCCGATTCACGGGTTTTGAAAGGAAAATATGCAATATTGATGGCACGTTCTCTAACATAAATTAAAAGAATTCTTAATGAGAATATAAGCATGGATAGAGAATTGAGTTCTTAGATGTACAACATAATTGGGTGAAGGAGAACAAATGGGTACCTCTGGTCACTTGTGACGAAACTGCAACGCTTCAGATGAACAGAGTGAATAAGGTGATAGTACGCAGTTGCTTAACTTCATAGGCTATAAGAAACCTAAAGATAAACAATACCATGAAACAACTTCTCTCTGTTTCTTTTTTTGGATTTTTGGTGTTGTATGAGCTGCAAGATAACAAGAATGTGAAAGGCAAACAAACAGACAAACAATATGCAACGTGGAATCAAACAAGAAATATGTTAGTTTTTCTTCTTTTTCCTTTTAATTTTTTTGGGTGGGATTTTCCGTGTTTTCAGATCTAAAAAACAAGAAACTGGGACTGGAAATCAAAACAAGGAATCTGAAAGGCAAATTGGAATACTCAAAAAGTTTTCTATTTTTGTTTTTTCGTTTTTTTCTTTGGGTTTTTTTGGGTTGAAAAGCAGCAAAATATGAAGAGTTGATTGAAGACAAAAAAAAAAAAAAAATAGAAACTGAAAAGACAAACACAATCAACAACGGTCTTTGTTTTCGTTTTTGTGTGCAACCAAAGCAGTAACACAAAGTTGAAAGACGAGATGGGCTTAATTACTTTCAGATGGGTTTTCAAGAATGACGATAAAATTGGAATTCTAATATATGGAAGACAATATATTCGAGTATGTATCGATGTGCGTGCATCTCCCTAGAAAAATTTAAAAATAATTATCAAACAATAAAAAAAAAAACAAACAGCTACTAGCAGAAGAACAGTAAATGCCTGCACAAGATAAAAGATAAGAATGAAAATTTTTATAATGCCACTTCAGATCATTTTCAAACATTGATAATAGAAAAACGCTAGCCAGCAAATGGTACTAATAAAGATTAGAAAAAAAATTAATAATAATAATATATATTTACAATTTATTATTATTTACAACCAGTGTTATTAAATCCGGCCCGGACATCGACCCGATCAGGGTACTGGATTACTGGATGGACCTGCAGGTCACTGGTCGGACCGATTGACCCGAATATATATATAGATATATAAAAGTATATATAAATATGAACTTATAAACTCAATTATATTCTTCGTATCTAAAATGACTTAAATAAGGTTATTAAATAAGCTCAAAAACATGAAGCATAAATAAATAAAAATATATACTATTACTATGTCAATTTAAATTGCAACTCATAATCCGCATAAACATACCTCTTAATGACATTGAACTCATATTTTTCAAATTTAACTACATTAAAAATGACATATGTCACAATCTCTTAATTTATTATTCCGCAAATTGCTTCAGTATTGAAAGCTGAAATTTGAGGTCATTGTAGAAGAGTATAGTAACAAATAAAATTACAAAAAAAAATTAAAATGAGTTCTACATTTTTTTGACAAGATGAAACAATTTTGATTTTTTGGTTTTTTTTTTTAAAACATGACCCGACTGGGTCACTGGGTCACCGGGTTATCGGTTTTGACCGGATTTGGCCGAATTTTGACCGGATTTGACCGAGTCGATGCATTATCGATCCAATGACCCGAACCGGTCTGATCATCGGGTCACCGAGTTCCGGGTCGACCCGGTTGGGTCGGGCCGGATTTTATAACAATGTTTACAACGGTTAATTTGACGATTATAATTTATTAGAAATTAATAATTAATAATTAATTAATAAAAATAATCCGATAAATTCTAATCATTAGATTAATAAAAATTAATGGTTAAAATATAATTTAAGAGATTATAAATAAAAATAAATTATAAATATACCTTAAATATTGTTTGTTTCGTTTTTTTTAGTTAAATATCTTGATTAATGCGACACCTCTACTCCTCGTGGCGCATGTGAGAGGAGTTATACTTATACTGCTATTAAAATATATATATATATATATATATATATATATATATATATATATATATGTTCTTAATAAATTAGTCAGTTAGTCCCTAACAAATTCAACTGGATATTTATTCCTAATTTTATGTTCCTAGTCTAGAGACACTGAGAATGGGGATCAGTGATCTCGGGTAAGACTAGCACGACTTATCTACTTGTATTCAGATGCAAGGTAAAGACCTCATGAGCTACAGATATGGAGATGTCTTAGCTAAAGTCGTGGGTGGATCTATAAGGGTATAGCTCGCACTGAACAGACCCACAAAAGAGACTCTATGAGGAAATCTCACAGAGAGTATCACTAGAGTAGTCTCTTTATATTTGAGTATGTCTTTCCTTAGACCAGAAGTTATTACCTAGACTGTGTTCTAGAAGGCATGCTTTGACTGTATACCTCGTCTGCCTGAAACATGGAGACTCATAGGTATACTGTTGGGCTTGTCCTGAAATAGCACAGGGCTAGGGTGATAAGCTGAAGGAATTCTTCAAATATCCGTGAGAGATTAGGTTATCTGTAAACCGGAGAAATCGAGATGACATTTACAGGGACTCGAGAATCTATGCATAGTAAAAGAGATCATGAGATGATTGCCTTTAGAGTCAGTAAATTGAAGATTCCCTATTTCGAATAAAGCTTACCCTAAACCGCAAGGGTTGATACGCTTCCTTACCCTAGGTTTTATGGGAAGGTAACCGAGACGAAAAGAAATACATACGGCAACCAAATATGTGTAATAGGATGATCAAGTCATTAATCTAACTAGCTCTGCGGCAACAAAGCATTGCTAGTGCTCTGTGTTGTCATTAAATGGGTTGTGGGCTTGTTGGGCCCGAGCCCATTTATGTCAGTGGCTATGTTGGACTTAATGGGTCACACACTAACACCTTAATGTCATGATGATATAGCATTAAAGGTATTGGGCCTAATAATAGTTGTTAGCCCAAGATGAAGTTTGGAAGCCCACCTAATAGGGAGAGGGCGCACGGTATTGTTAATGGGCTTGGATGGTCCAAGACATTACTAATTAATTTAATTAGTTAAATTAATTACCAAATATTTAAATTTTGAATTTTGAATTTGAAATTTGAATTTTGAATTTGAAATTTGAAATTTGAACTTTGAATTTGAATTTTGAAATTCGAATTTTGAATTTGAAATTTGAATTTTGAATTTTGAGTTTTGAAATTTGAATTTGAATTTGAAATTTGAATTTGAATTTGAATTTGAATTTAGAATTTAAATTTTTGAACGTTTGAATTTAAATGTTTGAATTCGAATTTGAATTGGCTATGAAAAGTTGTTTCATAACAAAAGGATAATATGAGATCTTGTTGGAACAAATCCCTTGTATCAAGAGAAGATTTATGGAGATCTCCAAGGGCTGATTTGGGGCGCCATTTTGGTGGGAGATGATTGTCATCTTGTCAAACCAACAAGCTCCAATCAGATTTGGTTGTTGAGAGAATCAGTGAGCTAATTGGTTCAAACTTGAATGCAACAGCTCAAATGTATCTGGACCCTTTTTGGGCTGAATAGGGGCGCATGAATTGGTGGTCATATGATGACCATTGGTTCAGAATTTTGACTAGATAAAGACCTAGTCTTTTGAGGATTCAAAGGGGAGGTTGTTGGGATTTTTGAATTGCAACAACTCTACCTTTGTCTCACTCACTTGTGCGCCACTTTCATTATAAGTAAGGTAAAAATTCTGATTTGATACACTAATTCTCTCCCTCTCTTGTGCGCCTAGTTGGTGAGTTCCTCCTTAAGGTTTTTCAAAAGAACCTAGCCAATTCTTCTATATACCATTCCCACTCTTGTGAAGTTTTTATGCTGGAGACTTCACTCTTCTAAACACATATACCTAGCCTCCTTCTTCACCTATTGAGCGCATAGCAAGCCTCTCTGTGGTGGTCAATTGGTGGCTTTCAAGAAAGCGTTCTTGCATCTTGACGTGGGTGGTGTGGATCAACATTATAGGGTTTGAACCCTTCAAACCTAACACTGATCGTCTTGGAGTTTTGAACTCACAAACAAAGGTAACATCACATGCCATAAAACATGATTCTTGATTGCATGCGTAATTCCGCATATGAAAAATTTTGTTTTTCCCTCTCACATACTACGGCCTTCAAGGCCATTTTACTTTCAAGTGGTATCATAGCCTGGTCGCTTTACCATCAGCGGGTGATGGTACTTTTTTTGTGAAATTAATTTTCTCACGGTCAAAAGGTCTTTTTGTTAAAGATTAATTCTTTGCATGTGGATTTTTTTTATGAACATGTTTAATATGATTATGGTGTTCATATATCTACATGACCTCATGGTTTTGTTTGTTTTGATTCTTTGTGAAAGTTTTCAAAAGAAACCTTTTTTTGAAAAGGGAATGTGATTCTGCCATGATGTGAATATTCAAATGCATTATATTCTCCATGATTTTATTTAATAAATTTTTTGTATATGATGATGTATGGTTCGACCATATGAGTTATGGTTGAATATATGGTTTAATTTTTGTGATCTTTGA